TTGTCTGTGTGTCTGTCTGTGTGCGCTGTCTCTGCTGGTCTGTCTTGTGCTGTCTCGGTGTGTCTCTGTGTGTCTATCTGTGTGCGTGTCTCTGTGTGTCTATCTGTGTGCGTGTCTCTGTGGGCTATCTGTGTTGCGTGGCTCTGTGTGTCTGTCGTTGCTGTACTCCGTGTTGTCTGTCGTGTTGCTGTCTCTGTGTGTCTGTCTGTGTGCGCGTCTCAGTGTCTGTCTGTGTCTCTAGTTTGGTGTCTCTGTGTCTGTCTGTGTGCGCGTCTCCAGTGTCTGTCTGTGTCTCAGTGGTTTGTGTGTCTCTGTTGTATGTCTGTTGTGCGCGTCTCAGGTCTGTCTGTGTCTCAGTGTGTTTGTGTGTCTCTGGTCTGTCTGTGTGCGCGTCTCAGTGTCTGTCTGTGTCTCAGCTGTGATTTGTGTGTCTCTGTGTCTGTGTCTGTGTGTGTGTGTCTCTGTGTCTGTGTCTCTGTTTGTCTGTCTGTGTGTGTTCTCAGTGCCTGTCTGTCTGTGTGTTCTGTCATCCTGTGATGTGTGCGCGCGTGCGTGCGTAGGGGGAAGGAGGGAACAGGATGACGAATCACGAGCTTCACGATCATCATTTTACTTTCACGCTTACTACATACTTAGAGCGGTAAGGTTGAGACATCTGTCTGGGCTGGTATGTAGGGTAACGTGAATGGCGTTGTAACTCAAGAGGACCTGAATCGAATCTTATATAATAATAATATATATATTATATATATTATATATATAATATATAATATATATATATATACATACACGCGAAAGTATGTGCTATTGTAGCTGTAGTTCGTTTTGAAGCGATTTGTAACTTTCACGACAGATAATGATGAACATTTCGTCTCATGGTTGAAGTTGCAAGATTTGTGTTCGCGGAATAGTTCTGGCCGAGGGATGCCTAACATGGTATATGGCTATATTAATATAATACGTATGTCTACGTTCTAAAATTAAGAAAATCATCAGCAATCTATCGATTGTTAATTATTGGAATACATGAAAGTTTATACTATATCAAATGCATACCACGCGTAATAGAGGCAAGAGTGGGGGCACAGACAGGCTGATTCTGCGAAACGGGAACTTGAAAAACAAGAACATTATCAGTGCTGTGAAAGAAACGTCACGTTTTTGGATCCTCTGAGAGAATATTCACTTCTGGAAAGAAAATCGACAGAGCACTGCATTCGGCGCGATATTTGTGACACACTGCACTTCTCCACACACTGATTCAGGGCAATTAAAAGAAGATATTAGCGTTCTCATCTAAGTCTGATCACCATTTACCTTCAGTGTTACTTTTCCTCTCAACATTATAGAATTAGTAAAGGAAGGAAAGAAATGAGGAAAATATATTGGAATCATTTCAACTAAACTATCGCGAATTTTCATTCGTAAAATCTGATTGTAGCCTAAATGTTCGTTTGATCTGCATCTTCGTACACAAGTCATGATGATGTTCCAAATATGGTTAACATCAGTACAAGTGGCGAGGAGATACAAGTAGTTTTGTCCTTCAAACTCGGGATATAGTATGTATGGCTGGATGGAAGGATGGACCCATGTGTCAAGCAAAACTCAGTCAGAAGCTTTTGAGCTCAAACTTTGTAAACACGTCAGGAGTGAGATCTAGTTATGCAGTTACGAGGATTGTTAAAATATAATATTTGGGGGTGCATTTGGCCTGAATCATTCCCAACATGTTCTGAAAACTGGCTGAAATTTGTTTCTTTATTTTTCTCCAATAAAAGAAAGTGCATTTATAAATATGGTATAGCCCCGATTTACATTAAAATAAGTGAAACTTGTAAAATTTCCAATTTATTTCGAACCTATTTTATACCTCCAATATTGATTTATTTCTCGATGACAGTGATTTATTTCTCGATGTAATTTATTTCTCGACTATAGATCCTTAAATGATGCCATATCTTTTTTAAAAACATGAGTAGTTAAGCAATTAAACTAAGAAGCGGAAAATATTTGGTATGCCGCACATTCCAACTAGTTTTATTGGCAGAGTGCAAATCTATTAACGAATAATCTGCATCTGTAAGGTACGCAGCGCACACTTGGTAACATTCTGCAAATCGCCATAAACCGAGTAAACTAATCTCAAATGCAACTTTTGTTAATAATGGATATTATATTCTCCTGATCAGCTAGGATACATTCGTCATTACAAGAAAAAAAATCCTGCGTCATTTTCATCTAAACTCAGCACATCTGGTCTTCCATCGCAAATCTGTTTGAGGGAAGGAGTGTACTACGTGATTAACCGTTAGCTACCAAAAACTATTTGCATTAGTATTTGTACTGAATTACAAATGCTAACGGTATGTTTATTCTAATAAACAATATAATTGCATTATTTTGCCATTTTTATAAATGATGGCATTACATTGCGAATCTTCGTAGTTCATTCGTAAACAGAATAGTATATTGTCTCATTTATAAATATGAATATATCATAATTGGATCAACTGAGTGATTAAATGCATTTGGATGTACAGAGACATGCTCGCCTTGCGCCAAAAAGTGGGGGAAATCAGGCACACAATCGCCCATTTATGTCGCAATGCAATGTAAAGTTAAGATCTTTTGCTTATTTTTTCGCTTTTATTTTCCTTCACCTACACAACTACAAAACACTTATACCATACAAAACGGCTTGGTGAACAATGGATAACAAATGCAGGACACTGATGACATTATTTTTCTTTCTGTGTGGATGATGCCAACTTCACAGACATACGGTAATGGACCTCTACAACTGAAACTACGCTGTATTGCACTTCAAAGTTAAGTTACACCCCTAAAAGGAAAAAAAAAAAATACAGAAAACGCATCAAAGCGGATAATATTAAATAAGGTTGAATGTGTTGAATAATTCCTAAAGAACACGAGATAGATATGTGTCCACGATGTTTCTTTAGTAGGCGGGTTAAATAAATTTAATTTTCAAGAAGTAGTAAAGTAAGTGTAGAATAAACTAGAACAATAATAAATTGAAACGTAATGAACACTGAAAACCATATGATCATTCATCGAAAATATAATCGTTTTTACCAGAGTGCAGAGCAACACTCATCGGCATCACTGTTTTCGGTAACGGTTATTCTTTCAACAGCACTCAAGAGCTGGTGTAGCGAACAAAGATTTTTTGAGAGCATCTCTCCTTTCGTCCCATTGTGTTAGTGCGTGCTACCTGCGAACGAGAGGGTGCCGTAATAAACGACCGGGTCTCCTCTGCTACCTTTTATCCTCTCTGAGTCACTGTCCATTCCCAGCCCTGCAAGCTGCCTGCTTTCGTGCCTTGTTCTGCAGATATGCTATATTGGTAACTTTCCCTCCATATGTACAAGATTCTGAGTCGACAAAATTGATAGGAGCGAAAATCAGAGAAACGTTTCCGTTACCAAGAAAATTATTCAGCCAATCGAACTTCACGAGTACACTACGTATAAAACTTACCCACATTTGTTTTAGGATTAAAAGTATGAAAATGGACAGATCCAATATAAAATATTGAAGATTTCTTAGAGTACGATGAACAGTGCCCGTTCATCACAGGCTTTTGTACGTACGCTCGTTTCACTAGGCAAAACGCCCATTCCGGCTTGTCATCAGGGATTGAAGTATTTTACTTTCATGAGACCTTTCGGGTGTCACATCTGGATACGGAATACTTGACCCGATTCCTGTGCATTATTCATTGCTCCAACCGCGAATTGCGCCGAAGCAGTGGCTAAACAGCAACTCTTCCTATTAGGTTTTGAAATTCAAACACTGCAAAATTTATCCTTGAATTTACTTACGAATGCGACTGGGGCCATGAACACTGCAGCCTTACGAAACAACAGTTGCATGTTGATCGTGAATCAATTTATTCAAAGAAAACCGAATTTCAACGGTACACGAGAAATGCTAGAACTGCACGAAATGACTAAAAAACTAAATTAAAACAAATTACGTAATACAGTAAGCCAATCTTTAAGATCTTTCCGATCATATAGCGATCATTATCATATCTCATTTGAAAAATATGTAGAAGCAATTATGAAAACACAAATGTAAATATAAAATTGTGAAGTTGAATTGAATACATGAAACTGAGAAGTATAAATTGTAAATATAAACAATTAATGGCAAACTATTTTATATACTGTACTAGATACGTAACAAAATAGATTGTACATACCTTGTAGTGTCTATGGCGGAGAAGATGCTAAGTATGTATGATCCAGTTTGCTTACCCATTTGGCATAGGATTTAACATATTTTGTAATTAATGGTACATATTTGCAATTTATACTTCTCAATTTCATATTTTAATTATTTTGTATTTTTATAATGTCTGGTACATATTCGTGGATTAGCTCTGATGAATATCACTATGCGATCGAAAATATCTTAAGCAGCGAAAATAAAAAAAGATACCCAGACAAAATCCTTTTTCTCAAAGTATTACAAGGTATCA